CTCAAGCAATCCTCCCTACCTCAGCCTCCCAAAGTGTTAGGATTATAGGCATGATCCACTGCACCTGGCTTTGAAAGACTCAACCTTGTTAGATGCTGATTTTCACAATATTGATCTATAGATTCAATACAATCCCAATCAAAATCACAGCTAGCTTCTATGCAAGACAAACTGCTCCTAAAATTCACATGGAAAAGCATAAAACCTAAAATAGTCAAAAACTTTAAAAAAGAAAAAAAGGGTAGAGGACTAACACTATCTCATTTCAAGACTGATTATAAAGCTACAGGAATAAAGACAGACACATAGAGCAGTGAAACAGAATACTAAATTCAGAAATAGACACACATATATGGACAAGTGATTTTTGACAAAATGAACTTTGATCCATAACTTGTACCATATACAAAAATTAACCCAAAAGGGATCATAGACCTAAATATAAAACCATAAAACTCCTAGAAAAATTAAGAAAAACGTTTGCAACCTTGTGTTAAGCAAAGATTTCTTAAATTCAACACCAAAAGCATGATCCATAAAAATTGATAAATTGGACTTCCTCAAAATTAAAAACTTCTGATTTCTAAGAGACTGTTAAGAGAATGAGACAACAAATCACAGACTGAGAGGAAATATTTGCAAGTCACATATCTGATAAAGGACTAATATCTAAAATATTAACTTTCAAAACTCAATAATAAGAAAACAAACAACCCAATCAAAAAATGGGGAAAAGATTTGAACAGACAGTTCACCAAGGAAGATATACCACACCAAGGTGACAAATAAATATGAAAACATACACTCAACATCTTTAGTCATTAGGTAAATGTAAATGAGATATCACTATATATATCTTAGAATGGTTAAATTTAAAAGTCTAACATACCAATTGTTGGCAAGGATATGGAGAAACTGGGACTCTCATGCTACTGGGAATGTAAAATGATAGAATCCCATTGGCAAACACGTTGGCAGTTTCTCAAAAAGCTACACGTACACCAACCATATGATCCAACCATTCCATTCCTGAGGATTTACCCAAGACGAATGAAAGCATATGTCCATACAAAGACTTGTGCATAAATGTTCGTAGAAGCTTTATTTGTAATAGCCCTAAGCTGAAAACAATTTAAATGTTCATCAACAGGTGAATGGATAAACAACTGTGGTATATCCATACAATGAAATACTATTCTGTGATAAAAAGGAACGAACGATACAGACAATAGATGATACAGACAAAAGATGAATTCCAAAATAATTATGCTGATTAAAAGAAGCCAGACCCCCCCACCAAAAGAAGTATATAATATGTGATGAACATAAAATTCTAGAAAACATAAACTAACATATAGTGACAGAAAGTAGATTAGTGGTGGCCTGGGAATGTGGGAAGTGCAGGAAGGAGGGAACACGAGGAATCCCTCCACGAGTAAATTTCTGGGAGTGATGAATATGTTCATTATCTTGATTATGGTGATGGCTTCATGGCAGTTTGTACTGACATGAGTGTACACATGTCAAAACATATCAAATTGAACACTTTAACAACGGGAAGTTTATTGTATGTCAATCGTACCTCAATATAGTTGTTAAAAACGAGTAAAAACCCCTCACACTTTAAAAGTGATAATGATATTCTTACTATAAACTGGGTAAGAGTAGTCACATTCTCCTGGCCACTTGTTTTCATTAGGCTAAAAACTAATACTAGGACATTTAATATTAATATAAGTTATCTTTTTACAAGTTACATTAATCTCTCTTAGTCTTGGTTTCCCTAATTACAAAACGGTAATGAGAATTCCCAGCTCACAGATTATTGTGATCGTTAGCATCCGTTTTCACTCCCCCTTGTAGCCCCAGGGCCTAGCACACAATGAGCACTTCACAAATATGTGGTAAGTGAATGAAAACATGTGCAATATTAGCACAGTACCTGACCCTTAGCTGGAATTCAATACATTATAACCAATAAACAAATACACAAGAGGAGGGAGAGAAGAAAGAGGAGGAGGAGGAGAAGAGGAGGAGAGGAGGAGGAGGAGAAAACTCACCTTAGATTCCCTCTAGAATGAAGCAGGCCCCAATAAATAAAAAGCATGCAATGTTTTAATAATGCTTTGAAAATGTCCATAAAAATTAAATGATTCCATTTTTTTTATCATGAGATTATGAGTTGTATCAATAGAACACATGGCTCCAAAGTGAAATTTTGCTCAAACTGGGTATTGGGTATATAAAATATGTTTTTCTTAGATATCCTAGATATAACTGAACATTAAAAAATGTATAAATGGAAATCCTTTTGATAAGGCAAACGTTTAAAAAACACTTCAATGTTAGTTATTCTAGCACATGTTCATTATGTTTGCTTTCCAGGTAGGATATTCATGCATACCTTTATCTTAATAGTTTTGACAGCTTATATGTGCACCTTGAATTAGTTCAGCAAAGATGTGTGGGTTGCGTGCAGATAGATTTAAAAGTCAATTTTCTCTCTTCACTCAGTTTTATCATAGTGCTGTATAAATATTAATTTTTAAAATTATATTCTTATTGAGAATAAGGTAATTTGTTTCTTGGTGCTCTATAACTTATTTTGCTAGACTTTAGATATATTCCATTCTATAGGATGATTCTTTGAGCACATACATATTCATTAAGTGGGCTTCTTTCATTTTTTTTTAATGTAATGAGTTTTTAAAAACACATAAGTGTGGGCTGGGTGCGGTGGCTCACGCCTGTAATCCTAGCACTCTGGGAGGCTGATGTGGGCGGATTGTTTGAGCTCAGGAGTTCGAAACCAGCCTGAGCAAGAGCGAGACCCCATCTCTACTAAAAATAGAAAGAAATTAATCAGACAACTAAAAATATATAGAAAAAAAAATTAGCCGGGCATGGTGGCGCATGCCTGTAGTCCCAGCTACTCGGGAGGCTGAAGCAGAAGGATCGCTTGAGCCCAGGAGTTTGAGGTTGCTGTGAGCTAGGATGACACCATGGCACTCACTCCCAGGCAAGAGAGTGAGACTCTGTCTCAAAAAAAAAAAAAAAAATACATAAGTGTGCTCAATAAATGTTTGTGAAACTCAATAGAGCTGAATCTTTTTATGTGTATTGGCAGTTTTAATGTGTTAACTATAGCTATTATAACCATTATAAAGTTCCATACTGGAGGGTTTGATTTTCTACATTCTTTTTACAAATTAGACCATCCTAGAAAGTAACTCACCTTCACCTTAGATATAACCAGTCACTAACACTCAAACTATTAAATGCCTTTTTAATAAGCAGATGCAATTACCTTGTGTTTTATAGAGAAGGTGGTCTTCATTCAGGCTTACTTTGGTTGGGCAGTGATCTAAACTTGTTTCACCCTTAGACAGCCTTACCTTTTGGGAAAACATATAATAAAGATTATTTCTGTATGTTGTCAAGGAATCCTTAGGTAATTTATTCCTGTCTTTCCCTATGGCTCAGATTGAAGGAAACTCACCTCCTTCTTCTTCCCCCTTCCCTTGTCTCCTTCAAATTGCTAGTTGCTTTTCCACACAGAAAGCACCTAAACCACGTTTCTAAAACCTTGCCACAGAAGGGAGCTTGTCTAGGGGCACATTTCCAAATCCCAAATTCTCATGTGTCATTTTTTTCCTGAAAATGTCTTGTATTCTATTCTGTCATACATCCTTGTTAGTTTTAACATAAAATAAGGACTCATTCCCCTGCTCCCTAAATCTCTCAGTTAAATGAAACTCCAGGAGGCTGCACAGGGACCTTGCATACACCTGGCCACCTCTGAGTCCTCTCAGGGACACACATGCCCGGGAGTTCCAGAAGCGGCCCTGGGCCTGCACCACACCCTGGCGGCTGGAATGAGAAACTGTCACACTTTACATCTTTCCCTCCTAGCTTCCGTCTCCCCTTTCTCCCTTAGGATGTTTGTCCACATGCTATGCAATTATTCTCAGGTGAGCTTTTGTTAATTTGTTTGAAGTATTCACAGCTCAGTAAATCCTAGCCCAGAATATTTCTAATCCTCTCCTTCCAATTTTTTCCCAGTTACTTTGGGAATATTCTCATCCCTCCATGTTCTCTGTTACACTGGGAGCAAATACTTAATAATGTAATTCTTGTGATATTTATACATTAAAAGGAAAGTATTAAGTTTGGATTAAAATTAGACATTCTAAAGAAAGAGAGCCATTAATGTCGGAAGTCCACTCATACTTTCCACACATACCCATAGCCATATTTTTCTCAAATTACAATTGCTTTTCTTCAAGTTCTGTCATTCAAGATAAATACAAAGAATTTCTCATTCAATTACTTTTGAGTTCTCTTTGGTCATAGGTTTTACAGCAATACTGGTTCCCACTAGTAATATGCGAAAATATGTAGAAGTTTGGCTACAACAGGAGGAGAAATTAGCTTTTCTCTGCTAAACCTAGCTCTGACCAATTTTCAAGCAACTGCTATGCAATTAAATAATATTACACAAACCATATGTAAGTCATGGCTTGCTTATACATGAATATCAATCTTGAGTTCACAATGATTTTGATTTCTGGTTTGATCTAGACAGGCATCAAAATAACTCTCAATCAAAAAATGTATTGGTTGAATGAATACATAAATTGTAAAGTCTTGTGATAATTTGAGCTGCTTTACTTTTAGAGTGCATGTATATGTATGTCTACAAATGGAAATTATAAAATGTCTGTATGCAAATAGGATGGATTAAATTCCATGTGACTTACCTTAGAGAGAGGTTTCCAGGAAAGATCAAGATGCAAAAAAGTAGATGGTACATCAAAAGGAATTTCAATACTTTCCTCTTTCTTTTTCTCTGTTGGTTGAGGGGTTGAAGTTTTCTGTGGTCTAATATCCCAGAAACATATTGTGCTAAAAAAAAGTTTACATCTTTTTTTATTAAGTATAAATAAGGGGTACACCCTTAGTACTACTGTTAATGCTACTACACATTAGCAATGTGACCTTGGCTATATTTTAATGTCTCTGATACTAAGATTTTAATGAAATGGGATAGTTTTGCATTTTATATTTTTGAGAATGATACTGTTTATGGCGTTATTTAATAACCTCCCTCATCTTGGGACTAACATCATCATATATGAGAACTGAGTTTGGAAACTGATATGATCTTTTTTTTCATATAACAGTTTTTTTTGTTTTGGTTTGGTTTTTTGCTGGTCAAGTGGAACAGTGGGAGTGCATATAACAGTTTTGACATATAGCTCATATAGTACAAAATTCACCCAGTTAAAGAGTATAGTTCAATGGCTTTAAATATATCCACTGAGCACAGAGCTGTGTGGCCATCAGCACAATCAATTTTAGAAGATTTTCATCACCTCCCCAACACTCCCCATGTATATTAGCAGTTACTTCCTATTAGCAGTTTCCCCCAAGTCCTCCCACCAGTCCTGGGCAACCATTAATATACATCCTGTATCTACAGATTTTCCCATGCTGGACATTTTATAAATGGAATCATATAATATGTGGTCTTTTGTGACTGGCTTTTTTCACTTAGTATAATGTTTTCAAGTTTCATTCATGTAGCATGCAGCTGGACTTCACTCCTCTCTACTGCCAAATGTTCCATTGTATGGGCATACCACATTTTATTTATCCATTCATCAGTCGATCAACTGTATAAGTTTTGTGTAGAGTATGTTTTCATTTCTATTGAGCATATCTAGGAGTGGAATTTCTGGGTTATGTGGTAACTCTGTGTTTAATCTTTTGAGGAACTGTCAGACTGTTTTCCAAGGCAACTGTACCATTTTTACATCCCATCAGCAATGCATGAGGATTCCAATTTATCAACATTTCCACAAGTTCACTAATACTTGTTATTTGTTGTCTTTTTGATTATAGCCATCCTAGCAGGTATGAAGTTGTATCTCATCAAAAGTGGTTTTGGTTTGTACTTGTCCTTTTGGTATAATAACTAAGAAGTCACTCCCCAATCCAATGTCATGAAGATATATGCCTATGTTTTCCTCTAAGAGTTTTCTAATGTTTGCTCTTACATTTATTTCTTTATTCCATTTTAAAACAATTTTTGTATATGGTGTGAGGTAGGAGTCCAAATTTACCTTTTGCATGTAAATATCCATCTGTCACAGCAGCACTTGTTGAAAAGACTATTCTTTCTTCATTAAATTGTTTGGCATCTTTGTTGAAAATCAGTTGACCAAAGATGTATGAGTTTATTTCTGGACTCTAAAGTTTATTCCATTGATCTATGTGTCTGTTCTCATGTTCTAGTACATCCGTCTCTATAACTGTGGCTTTGCAGAAAGTTTAGAAATTTGGAAGTATGAGTCCTCCAACTTTGTTCTTCTTTGACAAGATTGTTTTGGCTATTCTAGTTCTCATTGCTGTTTTGATTTACATTTCCCTGATAGCTAATGATATTGAGCCTCTTTTTATGTGCTTATTGGCCATTTGTATATCTTCTTTGGGGAAAAATCTATTGAGAATCTTTATTCACTTTTTAATTGGGTTATTTGTCTTTTTATTGTTGAGTTGTAAGTGTTCCCTTATTTATTATGGATACATGTATTTTATTAAATATATGACTTATAAATATTTTTTCCCATTCTGTGGGTTGTCTTTCCAATTTCTTGATAGTGTCTTTTGAAGCACTAAAGTTTTTAATTTTGAAGAAGTCCAATTTATCTATTTTTCTCTTTTTTTGCTTGTGTTTTTGGTGTTTTATCAAAGTGACATAATCTTAAAAATGATATAGTAAAAAGAACACACACAGATGGAATTGGTAATGATGTACTTTGTAATAGCAGGCATCCAACAAGTATTATTTCTCCTGTTATTCCTCTTTACTCACAGGTTAATTATAAAAATCAAATGAGATAACATATGTGAAAATTTTTATAAAAGTTCCAAACGTATATAGAGTGTGCTAAAAATAACACTCTGTGTATGTGTGAAACTTTATTATAAAGAACTTTCACATACATATCTCATTCGATTTTTATAATCAACCTGTGAGGAATATGTTTCTGATATAATGAAAGTTATAACATATTATAATGATACTTGTATTAATTGTGTATTTTTATTATTTGTATTAATTTTGTGAAATTAATTGTATTAATATTATTTGTATCAATTATATAAAAAGATACAATGAAAATGACAAAGAATATGCCATATTAGCTCCATATTTTCTATAACTGAGGTTATATATAATCTAATTAACGAATTTAAGGTCTATCAAAGAATTTAGATATGTAAGTTAAAGTATTTAGATAAGCTGGAGATAGGATCAGGGTGGCTGAGTAGTATGTGTCTCCTCCATGGAGAGGAACCAGTATAGTAAGCAGATTCTCACATTTTGAATAGATCATCTAGAAGAGAATGCTAGGCCAGGGAAGCAACAGGAACCACCCAAAGTGGAGAGGTACCGAGAGGGTTCAGGGCAACTTGCCTAGCCAAGACTGGCCAAGAGCTGGGGGAAGCTCCTGGATGTGGGGAAACAGTAAAAGAGAAGCTCCCAGAGCTCCACTCTCTGAGACAAGATTTTACAATCTTGGGTACAAGAGAACTTCCTGATCCATACAGGTCTTGAGCCCAACATTGGGAGCTGCCTATAAGATTGCACAGAGATTATCTACAGAAAGGGAAATCCAAGTGGAATCCCACAGGTATTTGAGCCTAGAGCAGCTTCAGCTGGGCACCATTCTGAGAGCCTAGATACTGGGGAACTATGGGCACACCTGCAGCTACTGTGCAGTTCCAAGGAGAGAGACAGGAGCACACGCACGCCATGCACCTCTGGGAAAGTCCCCACTACCCTCCTGTGGGCTGCTGTTGAAACTGAGATGTGAGCAGACGGCATTTTCCACAGTTTCTTGCCCACACTGCTTGCCAGGGTGAGGCCCCAGCCTCTCTGGTCCCAGACTCAAAGAGCCATTTTGAGAGTTTAACACGGGGCTGCACCCTGCCCCCTAGCGAAGTTCAGGCTGACATGGCTGCAGATGGGAGGGGCAGGGAAATCAGGCTTTCTGACATATATTGAGGACAGTACTCACCACCCTACAATAAGGAAACAAAAGGTCAATATTCAACATCATGAAAACATACAAAAATATAAAATTCAAAGGTCTAATAAAACAATCACACAAAAGAGGACAAGAAAGGAATTAAATGGCAATATGACAGAAGTTTAGCAAACCACAAAGACAGAGAGAAAGAAGGAAACAAAGAATGTATTAAAAACTAGAAGACAAGGAAACAATTAACAATATGAGAAGAACAAAGCCTCACATCTCAATATTAACCTTGAATGTAAATGGATTAAACACTCCACTTAAAAGACATAGAGTGGCAGAATGAATAAAAAAACGTGATCCAACTATATGCCACTTACAAAAAAACTCATCCTGTTCATAAAGACACATACAGACTGAAAGTAAAGGGGTGGAATAACATATTCCATGCAAACAGAAACCAAAAGGAAGCGGGAGTAACTATACTTATATCAGATAAAAAAGACTTTAAATCAAAAACATTAAAAAAAAGACAAAGAAGATCATTATATAATGATAAAGGGATCAATTTAGCAAGAGCATATAATGATTCTAAACATGTATGCATCCAACATCAGAACACCCAGATTCATAAAACAAATATTACTAGACCTGAAGAAAGAGATAGACAGCAACATAATAAAACTGGGAGATTTCAAAACCCCACTCACAGTACTAGACAGATCATCAAGACAGAAAATCAACAAAGAAACATTGGACTTAGATTGGACCTTAGACCAAACAAACATTTAGAGAACATCCCCACCCAGCGACTATAGAATATACATTCTTTTCATCAGCACATGAGACATTCTCTAAGACAGACAACATGTTAGGCCACAAAACAAGTATTAACAAAGTTTTTAAAAATCAAAATCATATCAAGTATCTTCTCAGACAACAATGGAATAAAGCTAGAAATCAATACAAAGAGGAATTTCAGAAACTATACAAATACATGGAAGTTAAACAACATGCTCCTGAACAATCGCTGGGTCAATGAAGAAATAAAGACAGAAGTTTTAAAATTTTTCAAAATGAATGAAGATGAAAACATACCAAAAAAACCTGTGGGATATAGTAAAAGCAGTTCTAACAGGGAAGTTTATAGCATTAAATGCCTATATCAAAATAAGTAGATATTAACAACCTAACATCTCATACCTCAAGGAACTAGAAAAGCAAGAACAACCCAAACCTAAAGTTAACAGAAGAAAAGAAATAAAGATCAAAGCATAATTAAATAAGATAGAGATCCCCCCCCAAAATTACAAAGAATTGGCAAAATGAAAAGTTGGTTCTTTGAAAAGATAAACAAAATTGATAAACTATCAGCTAGACTAACAAAGAAAAGAAGAGAGAAGATCCAAATAAACACAATCAGAAATGCAAAAGAAGACATTACAACTGATACCACAGAAATACGAAAGATCATCAGAGACTGCTAAGAACAACTATACACTCAAAAACTAGAAAATGTAGAGGAAGTGGATGAATTCCTGAAAACATACAACTTCCCAAGATTGAATCAGGAAAAAACAGAACTCCTGAATTGAGTTGTGAGATTGAATCAGTAATAAAATATTTGCCCCCCCAAAAAAGCCCATGATCAGATGGATTCACAGCCAAATTCTATCAGATGTACAAAGAAGAACTGGTACCAATCCTACTGAAATTGTTCCAAAAGACTGAGAAGGAGGGAATCCTCCCTAACTCATTCTATGAAGCCAGTATCACCCTGATACCAACACCAGAAAAGAATACAACAAAAAAGGACACTACAGACCAATATGTCTGATGAACATAGATGCAAAAATCTTCCAGAAAATGCTAGCAAACTGAGTCCAACAGCACATCAAAAGGATAATTCATCATGATCAAGTGGTTTCATCCCAGGGATGCAAGAATGGTTCAACATATGCAAGTCAATAAATGTGATTCAACACATAAACAGAAGCAAAACTAAAAACCATATAATCATCTCAATAAATATGGAAGAAACACTTGATAAAATTCAGCATCCCTTCATGATAAAAATCCTTAAAAAACTTGGCATAGAAGGAAAAACCTCAAAATAATAAAAGCCATATATGACAACTTCACAGCTAACATCACACCAAATGGAAAAAAGTTGAAAGCATTTCCCTGAAGAACTGGAGTAAGATAAGGATGCCCACTTTCACCACTTGTATTCAACATAGTACTGGAAGTCCTAGCCAGAACAATCAGGCAAGAGAAAGAAATGGCATCCAAATTGGAAAAGAGGCAGCCAAATTATCTCTGTGTGCTGATGATATGATCTTATACCTAGAAAACCCTCAGGACTCCTCCAAAAGACTTCTAGATTTGATAAATTCAGCAAAGTCTCAGGTTATAAAATCAACATAGATAAATCAATAGCATTTCTATATACTAATAATGACCAGGCTGAGGACTAAATCAAGAACTCAATCCCCTTTACAATAGCTGTGAAAAAAAATCCCATACCTAGGAATATATGTAACCAAGAAGGTTAAAGATCTCTACCATTCGATCCAGCAATCCCACTACTGTGTATCTACCAAAAGGAAAAGTCATTATAACAAAAAGATACCTGTACTTACATGTTTATCACAGCAAAATTCACAATCACAGAGATCTGGAATCAACCTAAGTACCCATCAACTGATAAGTGGATAAAAAGAAAATGTGGTATACATATATATACACACACTACGGAATACTACTCAGTCATAAGAAAGAATGAAATGTCTTTTACAGTAATTTGGATGGAACTAGAGGCCAATACCCTAACTAAAATAACTCAGGAACAGAAAAATGAATGCCACATGGGAGCTAAACTATGGCTATGCAAGGACACACAGAGTTATATAAGGGACTTTGGAGATTCAAAAGGGGGGAGGCTTTTTACTTATGGGGTACAATGTACACTAATTAGGTGATGGGTACAAAAGCCCAGACTTCACCACTACACAATATACACATGTACCAGGATTCGTCTTATACCCCTACTTGTATTTAAATTTTTAAAAGATTAAAAAAGTATTTAGATAAACAAATAGCAACTCAACTAAGACTAACAAAACTTTTATTGGCCGGGCGTGGTGGCTCATGCCTGTAATTCTAGCACTCTGGGAGGCTGAGGTGGGTGGAT